TGTGTGTGGGGGGGGGGGGGGGGGGTGGGGGGGCAAGGGGTTGAAAATGCCAAAAAGCACATAGTGTGAAACAGATGTGGGAGCCTCTGGATACTTCTGTCGTTCATCTCCAGTTCCTGCTGCAAACTGGAGGCAGTAGGAGTGCTGATGGGAATCTGAAGACTTGGGCTCTGCCTGTAACTCACTGTGTGACCCTGGGCAAGTGTCTTACCCTCTCTGTTTCTCTCTCCTGTCCATGAAGGAGTTGGGTTAGGTGAAGAGTCCTTCCTGCTCTGACACTCTGACATCCTTCTTGAACCCTAGGGTTGACACTACTATTATCCGTTGTACAACGAACTCCCTGTGGCCCATGGGAGCTTGCTAGAAATACAGAATCTCAGGTCCTGCTCCAGACCCTCAGAATCAGAACCTGCATTTCCCGTAAGGTCCCCAGGGAATGCGTGTGCCTGTTCAGTGAGAGGAGCACTCAGGAACCACATTCCCGCCTTCTGTTGGGGCTGTGCTGAGTGCTGAGTGAAGATGTCTGTGCACCCTCCCATCAGCAAAGAGAGACCCTTTCAAAGGAAGTGATGAAGCCTCGCATACAACAGGTACCGGTACCAGCAAAGGTTTTTTGAATGTGTCCAGGCATGCGTGGGGTAAATATCTGTAGAATGAGGAAGGGAGTGGAACTGACTTTACTCAGCACTTTGTGAGTGGTAGAGCATGGAGTCAGGTAAGCCCAGGTTCCAGGCCTAGCTTGGGGATTTAGGCAAGTCCTTTCTCTGGGCCTCAGTCCCCTCCCCCTGGGAGATGAGAAGAATAATAATAAGACTGACTTCCGAGGGTCGTGGTCAGACTTAAATGAGTTGATATAGGAGGAGCGCTTGAAACAGTGTCTGGTTCATAGTAAGCTCTTAATAATGTTGGCCATTAATTACAATTACTGCTCTTCCAGTCGCTGACCTGTACTGTCTCATCCCTTTACCTGGATTGCATTGATTTCTCTGAGAACAGTCTCAGAATGACCCCTAGAGGGCGATGTCACCCCGTTGAGAACCACTGGTTCTAGAGCAGTGATACCCAAGGGAACTATAATGCAAGACAGATATAATTTTAGATTTAGAAAATGTAGAGATAGCCAAGTTAAAAAAAAAGTGAAATTAATTTCAATTGTATATTTTATTTACTCAACATATCCCAATCATTAACATGTAACATATAAAAATGATTAATGAGATACTTTTCATTCTTTTTTGAACTCAGCCTTTGAAACCCAGTGGTTTTTACAGCACATCCCAGAGGCCACATTTCAAGTCTTCAATGGCCACAGATGGGCAGGAGTGCCTGTTCTAGAATTTCTTAGCTCTGGCTCTCATCCTAGTTATGCCACCTTTGTGGCCTTGGGCTAGTCGTTTTACCTCTCTGGGCCTCAGTTTTTTGTTTTTTTTCATCTATAAAATGGGGACTAACTCTGCCTCAAGGAGTAGTAGGTATTAGGGGCAGATGATGAGAGTTTAAAACCCCTTTGCCCACTTCCTCACAAGCCCCATTCTCTCGGCCATGGCTAGTCTATGCTGAACCCAGAGGGCAGCCTGGGTGGTAGAAGCACTGAGCTGAGCTGGGAGGGATGCCCAGCTTTGCTCTGCGGTCTTGTGCAAGTCACCCACCTCTCTGGGCAGCAGCAATCTCAGCTGATTGGATGACCTCATTTGAAAAGTTCCTTCTAGCCCAGCCGTGGGCAAACTACGGCCCGCGGGCCGGATCTGAAGGGTCTGAAATGAATAAAACTATTGAAATAAAAGACCATACCCTTTTATGTAATGATGTTTACTTTGAATTTATATTAGTTCACACAAACACTCCATCCATGCTTTTGTTCCGGCCCTCCGGTCCAGTTTAAGAACCCATTGTGGCCCTCGAGTCAAAAAGTTTGCCCACCCCTGACCTAGAGCAAGGGTTGGTAAACTTTTTCTGCAAAGGGTCAGAAATGTTGGACTAGTCTCTGTAGCATCTACTTAGCTCTGCCTTCGAGCATGAAAGCAGTTACAGAGGACTCCTAAGCAAATGGGCGTGAAGCTCACGCAAACATAATCGCAGTTTGAGGTTGGTGCTGTCACTGTCCCCTTTTTCCACACGAGGAAGCTAAGCTCAACAATGTTAAGTGACAAGCTCAGGGTCTCCTCTTGACCAGCAAAACGGATGCCGAAGGTTGTTAGGCACGTAACCATTACTTTTTTAGGGAAACTTTTTACAAAAACAAAAGCACCCCAAATACAAGTGTGCAGCCTGATGCATTTTCACACAGAGAACACGCCCAGCTCCAGAACCAGAACATGACTTGTGCCCACAAGCCCCCTCATGCTCCTTCCCAGTCACTGCACTCCCTCCCGCAAGGCCGTTACGCTGGCCTGACTTCTATCGGCCTAGGTCGGTGTTGCCTGTCCTTGAACTTTATGAAGTTTGAATCACATATGGTGCATAATGTTGAGTTGCTTCTGCTCAACTTTATGTCTGTGCGATTTCCTGTCTGTGGCTGTGTGTAGCGGGGGGCTGGGTCCCTCCTCAGTGCCATACAGTGACGTAGAGTGAGGTGTTCTGTATGAATAAGCCACGGTGGATTTATCCATTCTCCTGCTGGTGTCTGCCTGGGCGGTTTTCAGGTTGGGGTTGTTAAATAGTGCTGTTGCCAGCAATTCTTGCACAAGTCTTTTGGTGGACATACATGTTTTTGTTTGTTTTAGAGCTGAGAGTGGAAGTTTGGGTTCAGAAGTTTGGCTCCTTTTAATTTTCTACATTTTCCAGATTTTATAATTAGAGAAACTAAGGTGAAAGATGGACTTGCCCAAGATACTGATTAGAGCCCTGGTGGGTGTGGCTCTAATCAGTTGGTTGGGCGTTGTCCTGTGCACTGAAAGGTCACCGGGTCAATAACCAGTCAGGGCACATGCCCGGGTTTTGGTCCTTTGCTCTTGCTTCAATGTTTCTCTCTCTCTCTCCCTCTCCGTTCCTCCCTCTCTAAAACCAATTTAAAAATCTTTAATTAAAAAAAGGATAATGATTAGAGATCAAAACTTGCACTCAAATATAGATCTACAGATGGGTAGATATGGATAGACACATGCACAACACACACCCATTTAACATTTTCAGAGCTTTTCCCACATCTATTATTTTTTATTTCACCCTCTTGACACCCCCGGCAGATAGAATAGATATGGATAGACACACGCACAACACACACCCATGTTAAAACTTTTCAGAGCTTTTCCCACATCTATTATTTTTTTATTTCACCCTCTTGACACCCCCGGCAGATAGACGTGCTGCCCTGATTTTACCGAGGAGAAAACGAGGCTGTGGGAGGTTCCAGGAGAGAGACAGAAAGATGAAATAACAGCTGTGGATGCACTTTGCACAAGCGGGAGAACTCTGCAGCTTCGTTTCCCTGTGCAGGGCTTGCTCATCCGTACCACCCAGCTTCCAAAGAACAGACAGATGCACAATTCCTCAGTGGGGATTATTCTACGGCAACAAATCTTTATCACAGAACCTTGGTTTTTTTCCTCCAAAAGGAGGAGGCTGGCTTCTGAGCATACATTAAACCCATCCATCCTCTGTTTCTGGCAAAGTTTTATGACTCAGTTAAAATCGAGATCCTTTGGAAAGGGAAGGTGCTGGTCTCCCTGGGTGGGACGCCTTAGGTAAGAGTGATAAAAGGAACGCCTGCTGTGAGGCCGCCCGGTGAGGCCTGTTTTCCCTCCTTCACTGAGTCCACGTGGCAGTTCTGGGAGAAAGGTGCTGTTAACCTCAACTTACGGACCAGCAAGAATAGCCAGGAGGTGGAATGCATCGCCTCCGCCCACAGTAGGGCCTGCTTGGTGGGAAGGAACTGAGAATCCTGTCTTATTACTGTTTCTCAGGGCCTGTGGTGTCCACTTGAACTGGCTCAACTAGGAAAAGTACGCGTTGGTACCGCTGAGGCTTCCTGGTCACAGGGGTCACAGATGGACCTCTGAGGGTTGGAAGGATCATTTCTGGGGCTGGAAGGCTCCTTCCTCCTCCTCTCCTGGGGCAGGTGGTCCCTCCCCACCCCACCATTCCCGCTCCTTTCTCTGCTCCGTTCTCCTGCCTCTTTCTGCTGACCTGTCTTCTTTGTTTATTTATGGCTTTTCTGCTCTCCCAAAACTTGCCCTGGATTTGGTTATGGCTGTGGCCTGACTCCAGCCCCAGGATCCTTAGCTTTCCATCCTCTGTCTGCCCAGCATTTACATGCTACATCCCCAAGAGAATCTGCCTAGTTCATATCGGGTCACATATCCATCCTGGTCCAGTCAGCTGTGGTCAGGGGTGGCCTGTGGAACCATTTGGGATGGGAACTCAGGTCTGTGTGCCTGCTTCTCCCCCCTGCATCCCTCTGCAGTGGTGCTGGAGCTGGGGATGCATGGTGTGCTGGGGTCCTGTGATCTGGACGCCAGGGGAGAGGCTGCTGGGCTGGGGAGAAGCTGAGGGAAGTCCAGCTGTGCTGATGGCTTCCGGAGTGTGGTGGGCAGGGGAGAAGCTCCCTGGCCTGGCGGACAGGTAGTTCTGACAAAAGCAGACTTCATCACTGAAATGGACAGTGTTGCCTTGTTTCTGTAAGGGAAGAGACCTTGTTGGAGACCTGAATATGGTTGGACACATCACAGAGAAACCGGAGAAGTCATCATTTACTCTGTTGGGCATCTGGATCCATGATCTTATCAGTTCTTCCCCAACTCCTGTGAGGTCTGGATTCGCATCTCCATCCCCAGGCTGTGCAGGCCCAGAAAGCTCAAGTGACTTGCCCAATGGCCACAGAGAGAAAGTGGAGCAGAGATTGGGGCCTGAGCCTGCCTGACATAAAACACATACTTCTCACTACTGCCCTCCATCGTTGTTACCATGGTAACATTTGTTCAGGACTCAACAGCATATCATACTCATGATCTTCTGGACTATTCAGCACCCCTTTGGGGCAGCATAGCTTATGTTCCCATTTTACCTCGGAAGAACTGATGGTAAAAGAGGAATTGTGACTTGCTCTCGGCTACCTACTGGTCAGTGGCAGAGCTGGGACCAGAACCCACATCTTTGGGACTCAAATATATCAATAGGTATTAATGTGTCAAAATATAACAATGTTATTGAGTGTGGAGATATATATATGTATATATATATATATGTAAAGCATAATATGCAAATCGACTGAATGGCCGAACAGCAGAACGACCATCCAGATGACCTTCCGGATGAAGCCGGGGCTGCGAGGGCCGAGGCAACCAGGACTGCGAAGGCCTACTCTTGCATGAATTTCGTGCATCGGGCCTCTAGTATATATATAATGTACAAAATTGTTGAAGAAAAACAGTGAATATATCATCCCCTCCAAAAGTATATATACATATAACACACATACAGATTAAAGAAGAAAAATAAACACCCATGTACCCTCCATCACCTTAAAAAATAGAACATCATTGTTCAGCTGGCGTGGCTCAGTGGCTGAGCGTCGACCTATGAACCAGGTCTGATTCCTGTCACGGACACATGTCTGGGTTGCCGGCTCAATCCCCAGAAAGGGGAATGCAGGAGGCAGCCAATCAATGATTCTCTCTCATCATTGATGATTCTATCTCTTCCTTTCCCTTCCTCTCTGAAATCAATAAAAATATATTAAACAACAACAAAAAAATAGAACATCATTGATACCTTTCAAACCCCTCCACAGTTATATTCCTGCATCCTTTCCTCTCCAGGTATAATTTTATATTTAACGTTTGCTTGCTTTTCCTTATGTGTTGCCACATATTTATACCTCTAAACGGTTTGTTTCTTGCATGTTTTTGACTTTGGCACTCAGTGTTATGTTTGTGAGAATGCGTGCTGCTTTGGTCTACCAGTTTTGCTCCTCTGCAGCACCTCATCGTAGGAATATGCCCCATCCCATCACGCTGTTGATGGATGTTGGGGTGGCTTCTTGTTGTCTATTACAGCCAGTGCTACCGTGGCCGTTCCGACTGCTGTCAGCTGGGGAACACCTCCAAGAGGTCTGTCATGCATACCTAGGAGTGAAATTACTGGGCCATGAGGTAGTCACCACATAGTTTGCTTTATGAGGTAATGCCAAATTGTTTGCTAACGAGGTTCCTCCAGTTTATACTCTCCTAGTGGTAGCTGACAACTCCTGTTGCTCTACACCCTCACTGAATGACATGACATGATCAGATTTTTCCCATCTGTTGGGTGAGAATGGTCTCATTGTTGTTTTAATTTGCATTTTCTATTTTATTACTTGAAGTGTGATGGGAGAGAGATCGTTGACTATAGCGCTACAGTCGGTATCTCCAATGGTAGCTGGATTATGGGAAGTTTCCCCAACTGTGTTCAGGATGGGGAAGGACAGCAGGCAGGAGGGGCTGGGGAGGGGGACGCAGAATGGTGAGGCTTCTTGCAGAGCTGCAGCCAGCATTTCTGACCGAGCCCATCCATCCCGTCCTTCTTCCCAGGATGTCACCCACCAGCCTCTCGGGACTTTCGTAGTCCACGCCTTTCCCTGGAATGAGGTCATTGGAATGCCTGGAACCCAAGGAGTGACCGAGGCATGGGCTTGTGGGGCAAGCGCACCAGCCTTCCGTGAGAAATGACGGCGCCTCTCGCCCAGACTGTCTGGAAGGAAGAAAATTCCAAACAGTCCAACCCAACTTCGCATTTTCCATGTGAACCAAAGAAGGAATCTTTACAGAAACTTCTGGGGTGGGGCAGGAGGGATCCTATTTTCACCTATTACCCGAGATCCCAAACCAGTTTCACTCCTGGAAGCACATGTGCCTTAGGCCTTTCTTCCTGAATTGAGACAGTGTGGAGAAGAATGGAAATTTCCACTCCCACCTGGGTGACCTTGGGCAGGTGACCTCACCTCTCTGAGCACTGGTTGGCTCTTTGTCAGTAGGGGGCCATGTTCCAGCATCACAGATCAGGTGACTCAGCTCCAGGGCCAACTCCCTGCCTGGAACATACCTAGAGCCCCATGAAAGAGATTCTAATAATATTCTTCAAACGTTGGGAATATTTTGGAGCAGGTGGCTTAAGATTGTTTTTTTGTGTTTTTGTTTTATTTTTTTTAGAGAGAATTTTTGTAAGAGTTTATTTGAGCTGAAACTCAAGATTGGTTTTCTTAAATTGAGACTGTTTTCCCTCCTCTAGGCAGATATATTTTTTTAATTGATTGATTTTAGAGAGAGAGAGGAAGGGAGAGAGGGGGAGACACATCGATTCGTTGTTCCATTTAGCTTTGCATTCTTTGGTTGATTCTTGTATGTGCCCTGACTGGGGATCGAACCCGCAACTTGGCAAATTGAGACGAAGCTCCAACTAACTGAGCTACATGGCCAGGGCTCAGCAGATATTTTTAAAAGATGAAACACCCACAATTTTGGGGAGTGGGAGGGAAACTACCACATTGCAGGTTTGGCTTAACGTTTAAAAATCCATCAATAGACATAGACTGAACCTTTCCTATAAAGCTGAGCAGAGCTGTGGGGAAGGGGAGGATGATAATGATTCTTTTTTTTTTTAATGTATATTTTTATTGATTTCAGAGAGGAAGGGAGAGGGAGAGAAAGAGAGAAACATCAATGATGAGAGAGAATCATTGATCAGCTGCCTCCTGCATGCCCCCTGCTGGGGACCGAGCCTGCAATCCGGACATGTGCCCTGAATGGGAATCGATGCTCAACCACTGAGCCATGCCAGCCGGACATGATAATGACTCTTGTCGCCTCTCAGCACATACTGGGTGTCAAAGGCTGGCCTTGCCAGGAGCCTTGGGAACTCCACAGCAGCCCTGGGAGGCAGGCAGGGTGGCCACTGTTTGGGGGAAGAAATCTGAGACTCAGAAAGGGTATGGGCCCTAGCTGGTTTGGCTCAGTGGATGGAGCCTCGGTCTGCGGACTGGAGGGCCCTGGGTTCGATTTCGGTCAAGGGCAGATGCCCAGGTTGTGGGCTTGATCCCCAGTGGGCGGTGTGCAGGAGGCAGCCAATCGATGATTCTCTCTCCTCATTGATGTTTCTATCTCTCTCTCCCTTCCTCTCTGAAATCAATAAAAAAAAATTTTTTTTTTAAAAAAGTAAGGGTACGGGACTTGCCCAAGGTCATACGGGAGGGCTGTCATAGAACACGGATTAGAGCCCGGATTGCCCCAGTGGTCCAAGCCACACTCTCCCCTGTGCCTTGCTGCCTCCCACCCCTGGCCTCAGCCACCTCCTGGGCCTTATCTCCACCCTGCCTCTGGTCTCTCAACTCCAGCCAGCCGGTCCCTTTGCCGTCCTCTGACTATGCTTTGCACTTTCTGACCTCTGGGCCTTTGCTCTTGCCGTTCCAGCCACCAGGAACGCCATCCCTTTCCACTTGGACGATTGAAACCCTTGTCCTCGATGTAGCCAGCCAGTGGAACAATATGCAACCTTTAAGAAAGATGGTGTTGGGGTGATTAATAGACTATTGTTCAAAATATATTACGTTGAAAACCACACAAACTACAAGACAAATTCATACGTGATTATAATGATCACTTTTTTTGATGTATATATACACATATTCTGCCTTGCCATCTCCATTCCAGGGCCCAACATGTCTTCTCTGGGCTATGAATGCTCCCAGGGCAGAGCCTGTGTGCTACCAAGTTGACCAGGAAGAAATGAAATTAATTGTAGGGATTCCTGGTGGAGTTGTAGCCTTCCATGCAAGGCAGGGAGAGACGGAGTGGGGGTGTGGATGGGACTAAAGGGTCTGGGACTTCCTCTTACCAACCCCTCAGACCCAGGGGCTGCCTGCCGGGCCCCATGGACTTCAGCTGCCAGGGAAGGGCCTGCACTGGCTGCCCTCTGCTTTGCCTCCCTCTGACCCTCAGTTCCAAGGTCCCCGTGCCCTCAGAGCTCCCGGGCTTGCCCATGTCCCGGGTACTGAAACCCAGATTCAAGGCCAGAGGGGAAAAGAAAAGGCGTCTTCACGATTTTCTTGTGACTAAATTTCCCGTTTCCATTTGGAAAGCCGAATGTTATTTTTCTGAATTGGAACTTTCACCATGAAAAATGTTCAGGGTTTTCATTTCTTTGCTAACAAAATGGTGTTTTGCTTTTGCCTTTGGAGGGAAGGGGCTTAAGAGTCAAGCATGCTCACTCCAGGAAATTTGGAAATTTCGTAGAATAGAAGAAAAGTCACCCCCCCCCCCCCAATTTCTAGAGAAACACATCGTAACAATTTGGTATCTTTCCTGGCCTTTTTTTCCCCTCTTTTCTTTTCCCTGCTTTTCTGTGCACAGGGTTGTTTTGTTTAGTTTCCACTGAATAAATAGAAGGATTTCTGATTCACGATTTACAGAGCTGCTTACGTGTCCTTGTCACAAGCCTGTGATGCTTCCAACAGCGATGATCCTTTCTCGCTCTGGGAATTGTGGGGGCGGGGCACATGGCCCTGCCCGTATGCTCAGGACACTCTGGAGAATGCCAGTTTCGCTGCACCAGGGCGGCGCTAAGCAGTATCCTTTTACTCCTCTAGTTAATCGCAGGTGTCCCACTTGTTCTTCTAGAACAGGGGTGGGCAAACTTTTTGACTCGAGGGCCACAATGGGTTCTTAAACTGGACCGGAGGGCCGGAACAAAAGCATGGATGGAGTGTTTGTGTGAACTAATATAAATTCAAAGTAAACATCATTACATAAAAGGGTACGGTCTTTTTTTTTTTTAGTTTTATTCATTTCAAACGGTCCGGATCCGGCCCGCGGGCCGTAGTTTGCCCACGGCTGTTCTAGAACCTAACTCTCTACTTTTCTTCTTTTTAAAACCCCAGGACTCAGAACATGTGCCCTTCTCCATGAACTCCCAGGGGTCCGTTTGTTTTGCCTTCTCCCAGCTCATGCGTTCTTCGAGTCTTGGTAACTGGAATGTTTTGTCTGTTCAGGCTCACAACCATCAGTGGGACAGGAACCAACGTCAAGTACCTCATGATGCGTCCAGACGAACCTGGGAAAACTGGGAGCTGCCGACTGGACTTCCTCTGAATCAGCTGCTATTTCTTGGTGTCTCTAGTTTTAAAAGCTCCCCAGGGGCAACCTGAAATCCCCTATGGTCTCAGAATAGGATGGGGAAGGGATTCTGAAGTCCCCATCAAACATGTTTATCTCACAAGCCTCGGAAGGAGCCACAACGCCAAAGGCAAGAATCTCAGGGCACTGCCCACACTGGTGTGATATCCTGACCCCTGTCTAACAAAGCCAGCATGTGTCCAGTGGGCCTGACCATGTGTGGGGCAGCGTTCCAGAACAGCAAGACATCCCGGCATTCATCTGGTTTAGGACAGACCTTTAACTGCCAGCTGGTGGCCACCTCACTGTTCTTTAAATAGTCCAGCCTTGAGGTCTCTTCACTGTGGTCTGTTCTGATGCATGGCCCCACCAGTGCAAAACAGGATGACTTTGTTCTGTGGGCGAGACAACTGTGAAAGCAGCAGCTGTGTGTGTCGAAGTCTATGGAGAGCCACCTAGAATGTCCCCGGCAAACCAGTCGCTGGAAGGCCTTCTGCAGGAGGCCTCCAACCGGTCTCTGAATGCTACGGATACTCCAGCAGCCTGGGACCCAGCGACCCTGCAGGCCCTCCAGATTTCTCTTGCTGTGGTTCTTGCCATCATCACGCTGGCCACAGTCCTTTCCAACGCCTTTGTGCTCACCACCATCTTCCTCACCCGGAAGCTCCACACCCCAGCCAACTATCTCATTGGCTCCCTGGCCACGACTGACCTCTTAGTCTCCATCTTGGTCATGCCCATCAGCATCGCCTATACCATCACCCACAACTGGACCTTCGGCCAAATCCTGTGTGACATCTGGCTGTCTTCTGACATCACGTGCTGCACGGCCTCCATCCTGCATCTCTGTGTCATTGCTCTGGACAGGTACTGGGCCATCACGGACGCCCTGGAGTACAGTAAACGCCGGACCGCAGGCCATGCAGCGGCCATGATCGCCATCGTCTGGGTCATCTCCGTCTGCATCTCCATCCCACCTCTCTTCTGGCGGCAGGCCAAAGCTCAGGAGGAGATGTTGGACTGCCAGGTGAACACTTCCCAGATCTCCTACACCATCTACTCCACGTGTGGGGCCTTCTACATCCCATCTGTGTTGCTCATCATCCTCTACGGCCGGATCTACCTGGCTGCCCGGAACCGCATCCTGAACCCACCATCCCTCTACGGGAAGCGCTTCACCACAGCCCAGCTCATCACAGGCTCTGCGGGGTCCTCCCTCTGCTCTCTCAACCCCAGCCTTCACGAAGCGCACTCTCATTTGGCCGGCTCTGCTCTCTTTTTCAACCAGGTGAAAATCAAGCTTGCTGACAGCGTGCTGGAGCGCAAGAGGATTTCCGCGGCTCGGGAAAGGAAGGCCACCAAAACCCTGGGGATCATCCTGGGGGCCTTTATCATCTGCTGGCTGCCCTTCTTTGTCGCATCTCTTGTCCTCCCCATCTGCCGGGACTCCTGCTGGATCCCCCAAGCCCTTTTCGACTTTTTCACCTGGCTGGGCTATTTAAACTCGCTCATCAATCCCATCATCTATACTGTGTTTAATGAAGAGTTTCGGCAAGCATTTCAGAAAGTGGTCCATTTCCGGAAAGCCTCCTAGTCTTATTTGGTGGTGACTCTGGCTATCGTTTGTGTCCTATAACCCAATTGGAATTGTCTTTTTTTATTTCACCTGAGATTTGGGTTAATCCTGATATTTGGGGTTTGGGTTCAATCCACAGAATTGTTGTGTGTTTTTTTATTCCTGTTGTCTTCTTGACTTCTAAGCCACCAAAAGCTGGGAAGCTGAGTGAAAGGGGACAAAGACTGAAGATTTCACTTAGCATAATATTTTCAGGGTTCATCCATGTTGGAGGAAACATGACCCATCAGGTTCCCCATTGATGCAATTCAGGTGGGAAACTGACTCTGTGGGAAGAGCCAGGCTCAAAAGCAGGGCTTTCTGGTCTACCAAAGTTTTTTATGGAACTCAAAGGAGGGTGGATGAGATTAATGACCTGAGTTGAAAGAATTTGGAGGGAGGAAGGAATCTCCGTTCCATGTGGCACCTTCATTGGAAAATAACACCAAGGAATTTCATCCTCTGATTCCTTCTTAGATTGAATCCTCCCCCCCCCCACCCCCGTTGTTCATTTAAGGTGATAACAGTGTGGAGTGACAGAGATTCAGAAGCTGGGGGCAGTGGAGTGGAAAGATTGGAACCAAATCAACTATCTTGCACCCTTCCTCCTCCTCCAATACCTCTGCACCCTATGAATGTTCTGAAGCTAAAACCCACAATCACCCCCACTGAAGTAGATTGACAGGCTTTGAACCCACCAAGGTTTGAGGGGAACACCGGTTCTGATTTTTCCCCCTGAATTTTTACATGCCATTCTCATTAGAGATCTTAAAATGTTGAGTCTTATCAAATAAAAAGCATGAGACATCATGATCAGTAAAGTCTTTGAGTAATTTTCCCCCTCTCCCTGGATGTAGAAACCTTTCAGTTCAATTTTGTCTCCAGCATTTATTGAGCACCTACCACATGCCAGGCCCTGTGCCAGAGTCCTGGCATTTGTTATCTCATTGGAACCTCCTAACAATGAAAGTCAGTGTAATATGATGATTAGAGCAAAGGACCTGATACCTCAGTTCAAATCCAAGTGCTACCAATTTCTAGCTGGGTAACCTTGCACAAGTTTCTTAATCCCTCTTTGCCTCACTTTCCTCAACTGTAAAATGGCAATAATAATAGGTATGTTATTGTATACTTTATTTATTTTTAAAATTTATCTTTATTGTTGAAAGTATTACAACAATGTAATACTTGACCCCTTCCTCCCCACTTTCACCTCCTCCTCAGACCTTCACTGCACTATTGTCTGTGTCCATGGGTTATGCATGTATGCATAGAAATTCTTTGGTTAATCTCTTCCTGCCCCCTCTGAGAATCGTCAGTCTGTTGCATGCTTCCATGTATCTGGATCTGTTTTGTTTGTCAGTTTATTTTGTTCATTAGATTCCACACATAACTGAGATCGTGTGATATCTGTCTTTCTCTGACTGGCTTATTTCGCTTAGCATAATCCTCTCCAGATCCCTCCATGTTGTCCAAAGGGTAAGAGATTCTTCTTTTTTACAGTTGCATAGTATTCCATGGTGTAAATGTACCACAGCTTTTTTTTATCCATTCATCTACTGATGGGCACTTGGGCTGCTTCCAGATCTTAGCTGTTGTAAATTGTGCTGCTATGAACATAGGGCCACATGTATTCTTTCTGATAGGGTCTATCACTATTACATTTCTTTTTATTGACAGAGAATATTGTCTTGTATGGCTATCCCACATTTTATTTACTCATTCATCTGTGGATGGACAGTTGGGTTGGTTCCACTCTTTGGCTATCATGAACAATGCTGCTATGAACTTTCTTGTACAAGTTTTTTGTGTGAACATATGTTTTCATTCCTCTTGGGTCCATACTGAGGAGTGGAATTGCTGTGTCATATGGTAATCTATGTTCACCCTTTTGAGGAACTGCCAGACTGTTTTCCTAGGTGACTGCACCATGTTACATTTCCGTCCCAATCTGTGCACATGCGCAGCAGTATTCACTATTACCTTTTGTGATGAGAGCCATTCTACTGGGTGTGAAATAGTATCTCACTGTGGCAGCTGACTTTTGTTTAAGGGCCAGATAGTAAATATGTTCAGCTTTGCAGGTCATGTCATGTCTGTTGTAACTACTCAGCTCTGCCATTGTAACGTAAAAGCAGCCATAGGCAATGTGTAAATAAATGAGCTTGGCTGGATTCCGATGACATTTTATTTACTGAAATAGGTGGCAGCTTGCAGGCTGTAATTTGCAGACTTCTGATCTAGAAGAGCACCCTCCACCCCCAACCTACCTATCCATCCCCTATCCCCTTCTCTGGCTTTATTTTTTATTATACTTATTACTGATGATGAAATATCTGTGTTAGTTCTTGCTTATTGTCCGTCTGCCACCTCTAGAGTGTCAATTCCTTGCAGGTGGGGGTCTTATTTGTCAAGTTCACTGTTTTGCTTCCCAACACACCACAGTGCCTGGCACATAGTAGATGCTCAATAAATATTTGTTTGAATGGATGAGCCAATGAATGAATGGAACACCATTTCTAGGTTTACAAATGACTTATTCTCCATGTCTTTGTCTTTAAAGTTTTAAAGTAAAGTGACTGACCCTGGGGCTGGAATCTCACAAATCATGAGATTTGGTGTCAGGTAAGTCCTAAGTCAGACTCAGGGCAGTTCTATCCTGAGTGTAGCTGAGGCAAGAGAAAAGTGAGCAGGCTGGGTGACCCCAGTGTCCCCAAGAAGCCGTGGCTGGGACTGACCCCTAAGCATGCACTCAGCCGCTCTGTCCTTCCGCTCAGATACCCCTCCTCCGCAGTCTCTACACAGTGACAAAGGATAGGGCCGCTTCGGAGAATGAGCAGCTGTTTCTGGTCTTCCTTATTACAGCCTGAAACCTGCCCACTTGGATACTATGCCTGGAGAACTGCCCACTAACTAGGCCACATGAAAGTCAAATTAAAAATAAACTTGTTTTTTTAAAAACTTAAAAATAAATAAGCTTGTTTCCCCGGACCACAGAGGAAGGCCGTATTCGGGACCATCCTCTACCCTTCCCCCTCCCCCAACATCCTTGTCATGCTCCTAATTCTTTCACACTTAGTCACAAACACACACAGCGTGATGATGGCGACGCGTGTATGGGGAGGAGCAGGACAGGATCGTCTAGGACAGGATTCTGCTCATTTCTGGCATTTGCTAGTGTGGCAGACACTGCAGGGTGCCCACCTAGCAGTCATCCCTTTCCTTGCTCACAGAACCACCCCACCCCACCCCCCATCCGTTCAAATGGCAACATGCCCAGTCTCCCAGGAGGTGAATCCTGATTGGTTTAAAACAGTTGGGATACTCTTATTCTCTTTACTAGGGATTAGTCAAGGGATAGACATGTGACCCAGGTCTGGCCAATAGGGTGTAAGTAGGGAGACCATCAGTTAAATTGCCAAGGACTGAGGGGGTTCCCAGGACCTGGGAATTTCAGTTCTAATCAGAAAAACACCAGGCAGACGGGGACAAGTTGGTCATGCATGGTGTTAGGGAAGTCAGCTGGGGCTTTGGGAAAAGAGACTTCTTACAGGAAAAGAGAGACATACAAGGAAAAAAAAAAAAGTTCTTCCTGCTTGGAAGCAGCCCTGTGAGGATGGGGATGGGAAGGAGGGCAGCTGTCCTGTGATCCTGCAGGGAAACATTGCGGATGCCGGGAGGATGGCAGAGGGGGAAGAGCCAACCCAGTTTCTTAACCACAGGATGAGGCCCCGGAGCAGCCCTGGGACCACCTGTCTCAGATTGCTTGTTAAGTGAGCAACAACCATTCTTTTTTTTTTAAAATATATTTTATTGATTTTTTACAGAGAGGAAGGGAGAGAGATAGAGAGTTAGAAACATCGATGAGAGAGAAACATCGATCAGCTGCCTCCTGCACACTCCCTACTGGGGATGTGCCCGCAACCCAGGTACATGCCCTTGACCGGAATCGAACCTGGGACCTTTCAGTCCACAGGCCGACGCTCTATCCACTGAGCCAAACCGGTTTCGGCAACAACCATTCTTATGGTTTAAACCATTCACTGACTTTTTCTGTTACTTGCTGAACACATCCTAACACACCAGAAGGGCCATCTCTTGCTACCTTGCCCTCCCGTAGGTTGGATGGTGGCAGGTTGGGCAGCCTGAGGCACTTTCAGATTGGCACAGGCTTGGGGCCTCGGGTGGGGAAGTGGGGATAGCCAAAGGGTATTTCAATGTGACGAATAGTTTATGTGCACTGGCTGCTTCGAGCAGTCACCCAGGGATTTCCAAGGCCGCATGCCTGCTCCCTGAGGCCTGAGGTTCACTTGGCAGTAGAAGAAATGGAGGCTCAGAGAGGGTGACTCATGTGCCATTTAACGGGGAAACATTCTGAGTAACGTGTCATCGGGTGATGTTGTCGTGGTACAAACACAAACCTAGATGGGATGGCCCACTGCAGTCCAGGCCATGTGTATGATCTTATGGGACCACTGTCGTATCTGTGGACCAGTGTTGACTAAAAGGCCGTGATGCGGCCATGGCTGCAGTTTGAATCTAGGTCTGTCCCATCCGAAGTGCGTGCCCTTTCTCTTTACAGCAATGTCTTGGTTACGACACAAAGAAGAATGTACCTCCTGGAACATTTTTCTTAGTGACACGGAGATCAGGGCCCATGAGACACCCAGTGCCTCTCCTGTCAGTACTGACTGTTCTTCCCACTGTGCCCAAGTCTGATTTCCAGTAACTCCCAGCTGCCCGCCCTGATCCTGCGCTTGTGAAACCTGGAGGCCAGGGCTGTGCTTCAGGCTGAGCGGCCTTGTGCCCCGTCAGCCTTTCTTCTCTTAGCACGACTCAGGGAGGAATTGGCCCATATTGCACTTGAGGTCAAACTCAAAGCACTGAATCTTATGGATACTCCTAATGCTTTTAAGCTGGCCACACGCTCCCACCCCCTCGCCCCTGATGCTATGGCTGCACAACTGAACCCACGGGGAGAGCTTTCCATCGATCCAGGCTACATTTCTTAAGTCGTTTTTGAGTCCTGAGTCTGGCAGCCTCTGTATGTGTTGTCCCTTCCAGGTGTGTGGGGTCCTCATAGTAAGTGAGTCCCAACCATTAAAGAACTGTTCCATCCTCCGGGGACAGAGCCAGAGCCCTCAGATGACCTCCTCCATCCCTGCCAAACAAGGTAAGGGTGCCGCCGCCTCTGGCAGAGGTAATGGTACCAACCCCCCAACCCCACCCGTATTAGTCAGGGTTCTCTAGAGAAACAGAGCCACTGGGATGTGCATAGCTAGAGAAAGAGATTTATTTCAAGGAATTAGCTCTCACGGTGGTGGAGGCTTGGCGCGTCCAGAACCTGATGGGGCGGCCAACAGGTCAGAGATTCAGACAAAAGATGACCCTTCACATCAAAAGGCAGTCGCTGTAGAACCAGGAAAAGCCAACATTGCGGACGAAGTCCAAAGGCCGTCCTCTGGGAAATTCCTCTTTTGTCCTATTCCGGCCTTCGACTGAGTGAACGAGGTCTACCCACTTCTGGCGGGCAATCGGCTCTACTCAAAGGCCCCCGACTTAAACATACATCTCACTCACAGAAACTTCTAGAATACTGTCTGACCAAATGTCTGAGCACAGGGGCGCAGCCGTGTCGGCACATAAAATCAACCATCACCCCCCTCTAGCCTTGACGGCCAGGCTCCCTTCCAGCATATGTCACTCTGACCTCTGATCTCTCTCATCAGACTCTGAGCCCGCAGAGGCTCTCATTGATCTTTGGACTCTTAGTACCTGACTCACAGCCAGTGTTCAGCTAATGACGGCAATAG